TATTTTTACAACTTTAACTTTTATCTTTTATTTAGAAAAATACATTTATCATTTCAATAGTTTCAATATTATCATTGATTTTTCATAAACGTTTCAAATATATTATTTTGAACAAACGTTAGTTAATATTTTAATTGAAAAGTTGACGCTACAAAAGTTAAAATGATGTGATAATTAACGTGGATAGACGTAGTATTTAAACAAATCACAAACTTCATGGATACTTTTGCAATTAGATGTTTTAAAACAAAATTCCTCAATTGTAACATTTTTAATTTGGTCATAAAAAATACTGTGATTGTTCTGGTTTTATTTGCAATATCTATTTTTTATTATGTCTCCAAAATAATTTTTATTTTCTATTTTTGGCATCAATTAACGAAATCTTACCGCCTAAGACGTATGGATGGAATTAGATATTCTTATAGAGTGAGACAAACATTGGATTATAACATTTCTTTCGTATCATTATTTAATCAAATAGATACAAAACCATCCGATACAATCATCCAAGTATGATGAACTAAATTTATAATGAAGGTTGAAAAAGAAAAATAGAAATGAAGTGTCCATTTTGTGACGTCTATTTTAGATTTCTAATTTATCTATGATCTTATAATAAACGCTTTTGAAATTCTTAATTTATTAAAATACACAATAAATCATTAAATATATATAACAAAAAAAAATTAATTTCTTATAATTTTTTTAATTTGTAATTTTATAGATTAAAAAACAAATAAATAGTTATGAAATATGTTTTTGTTTTTTAATGAAAGAAAAGAAAAATAAACAATAAATAATTATCAAATATATTTCATGTTTATTTATTAGAAATATAAAACAAGAAATATTATGGAAGCGATAAAAGCAAGGGGAGCTGAGGCTGAGAAGAATCTTATATTTATTTATTTATTTGTTTATTTATTTATATATTAAATTTGCAGTTATAATAAAGTAGAAGGAATCTAGCTTTTAAACTCGTGTGCAGAGCAACAACCAATTCAATTATTTCAATGTTTGACTTTTTCTTTGATATTCGATTTGTTTCCAATGTGTATGTGGCCGCACATGATTGGATCTCTTTATTTCCTAATATCCAAAAACATTTATTTCTCTCGATATTCATCCAAATATTCTTCCCGTTAAATTATAAATTAGAAAATGGTGTGTATTTAATTCTTGTACTTACAAAAAGAATTAGTAAGTTCTGGGAGTAGTCATATTTAATATTTATTTTATCCTTATATTTTTTTGAAAAAATTCTAATAGGCTCGTGACTTTTTCATTCGATGTATTATAAATTTTTATGGGCGATTCAATTAGTATAATTTTTACGTTACCAAATAGTTTGAAATTTCCAAAAAAGTACCCTAGCACGTAATTGTTAAATAAAAGAATAATATTTCAGGTGGACTGCTGTTAAAAAATTGGTTAAAATACTATGGTTTATATATTTGATTCATTTTGATCCATGGATTTTTATAATGTTCACTTTGGTCGTTATGCTTTCAACTTGGTTCATTTTGATCTTTGTACTCTCAACTTTGGTTTATGCTGGTCCCTGTACTTTCATAATATTTGTTTTGATCTCTATACTTTTAAAAAGTGACCAATGATCCCTATTTTCAAAATTTTAAGACAAATTCTCAATATAATGAAAATTCTTTTATATAAAATCATTGTTACATTTTGAAGACATATATTGAGTATAGGCTCGTGATGAAATTGTGATAGAAAAAATGATATTAAAATAATATTAAGGGACCAAAATGGTGACTTTTTAAAAAGTACAAGCACCAAAACGGACATTTTGAAAGTATAAATACCAAAATGAACATTTTAATTGTAGATGGACCAAAGTGAACCAAAGCTAAAATTATGGGGACCCAAACTAGTATTTTAATTGATAGCTCATCAATTTTTTTTTAAATCATAAAACATATCTATTTTCTGTATTCTTTTTCTTCTACTCGTTAAAAAAGTTTAATAGAAGTAAGCACAGTAAGTAATTATCAATAAGCATCTAAATAAAATAATTAGTGTCTCAAAATTGACAAAGTAAAAGTAAACACAAAATTAAAAGTTTATATTGGGAAAAGTTATTTTATACAATACAGAAATATAAATTTAATAAGTTTGAATTTTTGTAATCACGGTTTGTGGATAACTTACCGCTAGAATAGATAAACCCACCTTAAAAAATAATAATAAATAAATAAACCCAAATACAAAACATAAATTTGATTACTTAATCTTAAGTAACACAAATTTAATTATGCAGGCCAAAACAATCTCTCAAGACAAGGAAGTTTTAAAATTGATGAAGTCACACGTCCTATAATATATAAAAATAACTCAACCCAACTTATCGAAAGTTGAGATATTTAATATTGAGTTATACATATCTAACTCATAAATCATCTCTTGAGATGATAAATCCTCAATCTCATGCTAGTTTGAAAGAAAACTAGAAAACATTTATGACATATATATTATATTCAACGTACCTACAAATATATGTGGGAGAGATCACAGATTAATTTAATTTCCAAAGTCATAAACTGATTTACATGGCCATGGCTGACTGATCTCTATCTCCCAAGGAGCAGGGGTCCCCATGGAAGATAGTTTTCGTGTGAGATAAATAATTCATATTCTCACAAAGTTACACACTTATGTGTTCGAAAAAGATCTTCTTTCTTATACATATCACTTTATCTTCTCCTCACATTAAGTGGCAAAAATGCATATTTGGGTAGTGTACAACTTTTTGTTTTATAATATTATGATTCAAACCAGACCAACACTTCCCCTGGATTGAAAGATCAGACCCTTTCCTCTTCGAGGTATAAAGTTTTTCAAGTTCATTAGTGATTTGATATCGTATAAGAGCATATGAGATCATGTATTGAATTCATATTATTATTTCTTCCTCGTTTAATATTAGTTTCTACTTGTTGGGACTTGTGCACATTTATAAGCCCACAAAAAAATCGGAGAGTTCTAAGATAACTATAAAACATACTCCTTTCTTCTGCTTCTCGATCACTTCTACCTTTTCATTATTTCATCATCTCCCAAGTGATGAACGTTAAGGATGTACGGAGCTTCGTAAATTGGTTCGAACATGATGAATAAATGAGATAACTTCTTATAGATTCGTTGAGAGAGGAGAGGAATTTGAACCTCCAATTTAATATCTGGATGAATTGAATCAGGTTTAAGTTGATATTCAACTAAAAGGGAACAAAAGAAAAGTTGAATATTGGGGTTTTTGGAATGGGTGAAAGGGAAGGGAGTGGGCAGATCATGATTTATTGCAGCAGATCCAGCTGGAAGAGTATCTTCCATTATTGGATAGTGGTGTACTCTTAAGGCCATGGCTTTCCACACTCAAGATCATGACACATCTTGTCGTCTCTTTCTGCACTATTACAATCATAGGTTTCCTCGTTTCTTAGCCCTAAACTTCACTACTTTCCTTTTACCATTTCAATCTTTTTCTATCATCCTTTTATTTTTTTTATTTCTATATATAAAGAAAGAAAATATTTAGCTCCGCCTTAATGGTAAGAAGCAATTTTATTTGTACTACAATTAAATATTTGACGACTAAGAGACTTTTTTTTAAAAAATAATGAATTCTCAATTTTTGAATGGTGGTGAAGATAAGATTTCGTTATTACTGTTAAGATTGTTAAGGAGCCAAGTATTCTACTTTAAAAAAATTACTCAATTTCAACTATTGGACTATTTTTTTTTACACGATTGAAAATACTACCTTGAAAAATATCTTGAAATTTTTTTTCAACTTCATATGTTGAAGCATTAACTATGAATCACATATCTATTTTTGTACTTTATGTTATCTAATTTCCCAAAAATCTTTTTCTTGGTGGGATTTTGGAAATTATTGAAATGACAGGTTGAAGTTGATGAAACAAGGTTAGGGGACATTGAGTGACAAACAACTGTGCTGAGTATCTTTGGATAGAGACCACATATGATTCTCCTTCTCTCTCTCTTTCGTTTTCTTTAATAATTATAATTATTTTCTTTTTGCTTTCTCTTTTTAGTTTTTTCTCTACCTCTATCTTATTGTTGGTAAAATTTGAGGCCACTTTCATGTTTTCCAAGCTGTCATCCAATAGCCAAATTACATCTTTTTATGACATCTAAATTTATTTTTAAAAAATGGAAAAGAGAAAAAAGAAAAAATATGAAAGAATTGGTAAGAAGAAAAGAGGGAGGAACAGAAGCAATAGGCCCACAAGATCCGAAATGAGTCCATGAGAAATGGGCCCAGCCCAGACGTTTGTGTTGGCCCAGAACATCGCAAACTGGGCCCTATCGTAACGTAAGGTTGAAAAAGAAAATATGGAATTGGAGATATTGTTGCCAATTATTGTACCACCTCGCCTCTTTCATTAGCTGTATTGGTAACATGGGAATTGACGAAAAGGAACACGTGTGTGTTGAGGTCAAATTACGTTTTAATCCCCATATTTGTATTAGAAATTATGTGAGGCCTACTAATATTTTTTAAATTATTTATAAATAATGATCGATGACAGGCTTAACCCTAGGCTCCCATTGGTTTTGTTATTTTAGAATAAGCTTCCTTTTCATTTTTTCCAACCAAAATAGTGCTTTACAACTTGACCCAAATTCTATGTTTCTTATTAATATGACTTGCTATACCCCACATCATTAAAGAAAATGTGGCAATGTGAAACTCAGTATACGAAGCTAAATTTCAATTACCAGAGATACCGAATAAACTTAAACAAGGACTAATTTGCAAAATGGGTGAAGAATTTGGACTGAAAATGAAATTTAATTTAACCTCGTCAACATTATACCAAGTTCAATGCTTTGAAAATTATAACTAAAGAGTGGACGATATCAAGTTGTGTGTCAATCAGTTCATAAAACTTGAAACTTGAAACAGTATTTCCAGACAAGCATGTGACCTGTTCTAACAAGAAGAAACGACATTCGCGAAGCTGTCCAATTTTACTCCAAATTTTAGACCAAAAAAGAGAGAGAGAACAAAGCCAAGAACAAGAAAGAAAGAAAAAAAAAATGCAGAAACGCTATTTTAAGGAAGCCAAATGATTAAGATGTCCTTTTAAGGTATACCATTAATCAATCAAATTTGTGATCCCCTTTCCCCCCTAACTCCCTTTCTCTGCTCTCTTTTGGGGGATTCCAACATTCTAACTTGACTATCATTAAATCTCCTCAATCTAATGATACATCTGACTAAAAAATTGACGAATTTTCAAGCTCTTTGGCTGTATGAATTTTCGAGGACTGCAACCCCTGGTCCATATATCAAACGGCAGCGGTCGTTAAATGAACCGACCAGTTTTGAGACGACCTCCTTAAAGAACAATGACGCCACCTAAAAAAGAATGCCATATATGATATCATAATGCTTGGCTGTAACAGAACATTTGGTGACAAAACCACTGTAATATAATACGGAACAAGTCTAAATCCAAGGTAAACATAGATCCATATATACTGAATTTATTTGATAAAAAATGGAAGTTCACAAAAGAAAAACAATAAACAGAACCACATGATCAGTTAGTAGTACTAAATTTTGTTAAAACTAAAGCAGCCACTGGTTCCAATTGAGGTAAGATTTCCCAATAACACTGATCAAATCTTATGCTTTCAAGCGCATTACAGGTTAGATAAATTGCCAGTTTACATGTTTTAGACCTAACCGGGATTTCACTTGAAAGTTTATGTCCAAACAATTTCAGTCATTATAGACGGAACCAGCCTTGAGGAACCTAATCCTACCACGGGTAAGCCACAAAGCAAAGAAGGCTCCATTGTTAGTATTATTATTTATTTTTAAAGTGAAAAGTTAGACTCATAACTTGACTTCTATTGGAATCAGTTGCATTCCTACGAATGCCCATGCTATACTTGAGATTTGAATTTAGAAGAATGCTGGGCGAGAGAAATCTCTACCTGTCGATAAAGTGGTGACTGGAACTTAAAATCTACTAAAAAGTAAAGGTTGCAAGTCCCTGGAACTGGTCCCGGATTGAACTCCCAGATATTTATCAAGTGGTCAAAAAGAGAGCTTTGAGATACTGTAGTCTGCAAGTGGAAAAAGTAATCAAGACAATCAGTGTAATGCCTATTAAACTTCAATAGTTTAGCAATCAAAGGGTAAAAATGTCAATGTTGATAACTTAAATTCATGAAAACATCTACAAATATTTGAATATGACCAGATATTTAAGCCACAAACCATCATTTTCAGTAAAGATATTAGTATTTTAGAGTCCAATAAGAGTACAAGTATAAGAATAGAAAGTAATGAGAACTAAGAAATGACATCAGGTTAATTAATTAATTCTTTTTCTAAAATGTCTGTATAATTACATCATTTAATAATTAGAAAAAAATCTTTCGAGTGGGGTGGAGAAAGAACAAAATTAAAGTGGGAGATGGAGACTCAAGGGTGGAAGGAGTGTGATTGCTCTAATGGTGTGAGTAAAGGCACAAAAAACAATCTTATTTATAACCAAACCTGTAAAAAAAAATATACAAGTTCCAATAAAATCGAATTTACAAGACTACAAACTGTGCCTCAAGACTAACTGCTGCCTGCCCAAATTGAATAACTGCTCGGGGTACACTTATGGACCTTACATAGAGAATTTGGAAAAGAGATCAGGGGAGAGGGAGAGAGCGAGAGAGAGTTAAAAAGAAAATAAAGAGAGAAAGCGGGAGGGGGGTGGGGGGAGACAACAAGATTAAATAACAGACCTCAATGTTGGAGTGTGCTTGCTCTAATGTTGTGATTGAGGGCATTAAGAACAGACTTACTTATACCCCAACCTCTAAAATTCTATACATTTTTTCTCATCATTAAAGACTATCAACCAAGTTCCAAAGTCCAATTTACAAGACTAACTACTACCCCTCAAGACTATAGACTGCTGCCTGAAGTGCCTACTTAAAAGCTTCAAAGACAATACTGCACAATTCTGACAGTAACTAGAAAAGATAGCCTATGATAAAACTGGCGTCATACTGTTAATATAGCAGTGACTGACAGTAAAAAATTGTCCAAAAGGTTGGTGTTAGAAAGCACGCATGGCTCATTTTTTCTAACCGAAGTCCATATGCACTTAGAGCTTTGGTGCTTCCAGTTACGATGGTAACACCTGATACATACTGAGTAATGAATAGATTGTGAAATGAATCAGCACATCACCAGCCTCACTTCCACATGTTTAGTTCCTCTAAATAATACCGTAATATGGAAAAAAATTCTACGCCACCTAATATCTCCAAATATTCTTGGACCTATTAAGCATCCATCACAGTCATGTGTACGCTCAATGTAACACAACACAAACACACCCTCAAGTCCTTGGTTCTGACTTCTGATACGTATCTACCATGTTAATAGCACCACTAGCTAGCTAAATGAGTTAACAATTCGATATTAGAAAATTATCAAATCTTATGGATAAGTTTATTACCTTTATAGACTTTGGTCTGTGTATCTCTACATGTGAAGTGTAACTCTCAACAAGAAATTTAAAGCCAATCTCCAGTTCAGCATCAAACGATCCATTGGGATAGTTTTTGAGGATCTCTGACCGCTGGCACCAAGGAACAAAATCATGATACAAATCTACCGCTGCAACTACATCAAATAACTGCTCTGGAGAATACCTAGTAAGAAATAAAAAGGTGGAATTAGCTCAGAATCTACCATTAACAAATGTAAAACTGTAAAAGGAAAATTACATAATGATTTGATTTGATGTGCCAATATCAAATGTAAAAGGAAGCTAAATCAAATGACTTTGCCTCCTCAAATGCTGCAAATTCTAATTGCAAAAGAAAATAAAAGCCCTTATCAATATCAACAAAACTAATTCAATCCCCTAAACACTGCAAGGACCACGATAAGATAAACCCAATATCCCATAATAATGTTTCCTCCACAGCTAGCTCTTATACTAATTAAACTAAAATGCAGAAAACCGCATGCTATAGATGTGCAAAAGAAAATTGATTTCTTTACCCCATTACGCGCCTCTCCTCATAAACTTTGGATAGAACGCCGCCCTCTTCCCCGTCTCCACAACCAAGAAATCGCCTCAATTGTACAGCACCACTATCACGGAAACTCCCCGAAAGAATCTTATGATCCTGATCGAACAATCTATGAATCGATGAGGTCCCAGCTCCGGGAATACACCTTAAATGTCGAACGTTTCGATATTTCCACAGCTCGTCGTTGCACCTTGTATATTTGATCACATGCCCGATAGCACCTCTACGCGAAATTAAGGACTTAACGAACTTCGAGGTTGACAAAAACGGCGGCATTGCTGTCCCTTATGGTAAAAAACCTGAAGTTCTCTCGAGAGCTCCGATTAAAGCTCTCCCCTCCGTAGAAAGGAAGTCTGAAATAACATACAAATCGAAACGAGAAAAACTCAGAACCTAGGGATTGAATGCAACAAACCTAAAATACTCCTCGACAATCGCGAAAATATTTGGCGGTAAAACGCGAATCTAAATTACGAACAAACCTTCCCTTCGCCGATAATAAATCTGAGCGGAAGATCCAAATGTTCTAATTATATACAGTGGAAGGCAGATTTCTACCATTCCAAATCTTTGCCGGTCCCTTTTGTACCGATGGAGATGAAGATTGCGGATCTGACCCGACCCGTTCCGAATCCGTCTACGATTTGGACTCCGTGTAACTGCCCACGTGATTGATTAGGACGTTGACCAGCACCCCGAGGATTATTTGACCCCAAAAATGCCACGTGGACTTTGACCATACGCTTTTTAAAAGGATTTGTGCATTTAAAATAAAATTGTTTTCTTGGGACCAAAGCCTGAAGCATATTTTTTTGGTCCACAAAGGACAAAAATCATAACCCAATTTTAGTTGTTTTTCTTGTTTTCCCTTTTTGGGAGTAGGCAAACTCAAAATACCTTTATTGGGATTGCTCGCCACAAATCAATCCCACGAGAAGAAAAAAACAACCTTCAATTCTGTTGGTGTAAAATGAGTTTGGATCCCTCGATTGCATTTTTGTAGTACAGCATATGAGAATAGAGATTCAAATTTACGATCTTTAAGATCGAAAATAAGTGTTTAACTAATGCTCAATTTGACATGTTAACTTATCTTTGAAACTAATTTAGTTTTATAAATATAAAAAAGATTTAGCCACTTTTCAATGATTTGATTTTACCAAAAAAAACAAAAAAAAGTTTCAACTTTCGAAATATTTTTTATTTTGATATTGTCTCAATTATGGCGAAAAATCACTCACAACTCACCTTTGAATTTTCTGAGTGTGTTACTTAACATTTTTCAAAAATGAACATTGGTTCATGCCCTTTCACGTCGACCACAAAAATATTGAAACAAACTCTGAAAAGTCCAAACCCTGTGAAGGAGAAAGGGCCAATCGCAGGCATCAGAGAAAATCTGGGTACCTTCATTTAATGGACAATGCAAAAGAAACGAAATGATATGTATAAAAAGTCTAGTTCAATTGACAAAAAGATCATTGATATGATTAAAAATTTAGTTCAAACAAAAAACTTCTGAATGATTAGAGAGAAATTTGGAAATTTCCTATTTCATTTTGCTCTCTTATGTTCATCTTGAAAAAGAGAGGAAAAAAAGAAACTTAAATCAAATGTTGCATAACCTTGTTGTACCAAAAAATATATACATATGCTGAATGACAATACCATACACATCTACCCACTCAAAACCATAATTGCTGATTTACGTACTAAACAACTGCAGACACCATATGGTATTAGGACTTGCATTAACAGACAAACCAAGAACATCAGAATGAGCTTTCTAGACTTCAGCAACAATCTCTAATCATCTATGTCCTTTCCCGAGTTGGAAAAGTAGTCGACAAGTCTTTTGTCTCGTCTCGGCGATACTCTTGGATCTAGCTATTTTCTGGATGTGATATAACTCTTGTTAAACATCATCTCCTTCATGGGACTTAAGGAACAACCTAAAAGAAATCAGTGATTATCATTTTGGAGCAAGAAATGACGGCTATGTTGATATCATTTGAATTACCTGGTCATTGCTCAAAGCATTGGTTTCTGGAGTGTTGACTCTTTTGGCAATGCAACCGTTGTTTCCCTTTTCAACTTCTCTGTCTTCATCAACAAAGTTCTGATCTGACACTTCTGCAACATATAAAGTTATTTTTCCAGATTAAAAACAAAATTCTTGATCTCCATCTAAAATTCAGTTTCAAAGCAGATTACAATAAAAACCAGTTTCATTTCAGTTATATCATTTGTCTCAACTCATAACTTTCGGGATTCCAACCTAATCACTAACAAGCAAACTCAAATACATAATAAAGGAGAGGCACAAATTTATCAAACAAATATTGGTAATTTATAACGTCAAAGGCCCAAAGATCTACCTCTGTTGCTGCTGATATATTGCTGAGACAAATGAGAGTCACAAGCACGCATTGGTCCTGAATTATTAGTTGATCCAAAGGGAAACGAAGAATTCCTTTCTCCTGAACTGATGGCTTGACTTTTGCACGCAACATTTTTCTGTTTGCGAGCAGCTCTAAAGTGATGTATCCAAGGATTGCGCGAGAGAGCTTGTAAATCATTCAATACACTCGGCCGAGATTCAGTTGGTTCAAAATTGATGTTCTTCCAGCTGCCTCGTCGAAGAACCTTAAACTGTGTCGATGAAAGCAACAAAAGAACGAAAAGAAATTTACAAGGCATGATCAGAAAAGAGTTAAAACTCATCAAGAAAGAGAAATCTGCACTGAACCTGGCCGAAATGTGAATGGATATTAGAGGCGGACTGGGTTTGGCCGTGCAATTTTGTACGCGAAGAATTTTCCTTGCCGACGGATCCAACTGAATGCGCGGAATCAAACATTTGGCTGACAAATGATGCCTCCATGGATTCAAGGAACCGATGGTGCTTCTCATCGGTCCAATCAGAAGGTACAGACTCCGTCATCTGAGTGCCCTAAAACCGAAACTGCATTATCAGCAATTCCCGCGCAAGTTCATGGTCTCTCTTAATAAATAATGGAAAAATGCTACTATTAGTCAACTTAATGATAAATCACAGTATTGAACAATCACACCTCGTACTGAATTTCTAGGATAATTGGCTACAGATCCGAACCCGTTATACAGACCGACCAATTCCATCGACGACGGGCGAGATCGATCCAAACAGAGCCGAAGAGAACATGAATTAAAAAAGTCCTCTAGTCTCGAGATTTAAGAGTGAGACCAGTTCTGTTTTCTTCCTATTATTTAATTGATATATTTAGACTTTGAACGCGAAAATAGAGAAAACAGTACGGTCACAAAGCTCGGAATTGAAGTTTAGAGAACATCACAGACAGAAAACCTAATCCAGAGAACAAAATCGTCTGCGAGTAAGAGAAATTGGAAGTGTGGAGAAGAAAGTAGGGTAAATTGTGAAAGTACCTGGCTAGAAGATTCCATGGGGAGGGGAAACTCGGTTGCGTCGTCCTCGGCTGATTCGAGAGGCAGTGAATCGGTCTGAATTTCTGCGGCTTTGATATTCTCCATATTTGGAGGAAAAAACTCCATTGAAGTTGAAGAGAATTAAGGATTATCTCCAGATTTGCAAATGGCGAGAGAGATATTGAAGAAGGGTGGGGGGCGGTGTTGGGGACAAAAGAACCTTCACAGTTGTCATGGCTTTACACGTGGCGATGGGCCTACATTTGCCACGTCAACAAAGTGTTAAATAACGCTGAGGAATCGGCCAGATATTATCTGATCCATCTGAAATATCTTCTGCCTCTTTATCCGGAATTCGGTGGCGGCGCACTTTAACTGTCAACGACCGCAGCCGCTGCCTTTTACTACTTGGCGCCTTTTATTTCCCTAGAAGTTCCCAATTTCTATGCCGGTATCTGTCATATACATGTGTAACTTAATACTATTCTTAAAATTAAAACTAAAATATGTCAATTTCATATATTCTTAAATTTAAATCTTACCGAGCCCCTATCCAGACTAAATTAGGATAAAATCTGACATGTCACGTGAACCTCTGGTGATAGATCGAAAGATTTATCTTGTAGTATGTAGACAAAGTTACATTTATCGATTTCACTTACATTCCGACCTAAGTTTCAGATGAAGAAAGGAACCCTGACTAAGGCACCTGATCGACCTACGACATTATTGACTATGATCTCACAACTATAATTGCTTATCTGAACGGTAGTAACTACATCGTGTCTCGCCCTCTATCCATAAAAAGGGCATCACTGTTACAATTTATGTATGCAATTCTATGTGAGTTTCAAAGTTGAACTTGAACTAACTTAAGTTTCAAAGTATCTGTTTTCTTTTTACAGTCTTCTTTTGCACTACTCGTTCTTTCGTATCTCGTCCAAGTAAATACGCAACCAACCTTTAGTCGCTCGACATAATTCAGTATCAACATTGATGAACTTAAAAAGAAAAAAAAAGATATCGATAATTTGGTTAAATTTTATAATTGTCTCTATATTGTTCTTTACCCATTGAAAAACTTTTTTTTTTTTAATTCAGTCTTAAACTTTAGGAGGGTGAGGTGACACAAAACAGATTAATTAATTACCACGTTATATAAAACAAATATTTACTTGACATGTATTGGATATGATGGTAGCAGAGATAAATTATGAAATTTGAAAAAAATTATAGAGATTAAATTGAAACTTTAAAATCATAAAAAAATGTCTTACCGTTAAAATTAAATTAAGTCTGTACTATAAGCATCTAATGTTTTTTTCCTTACTATGTGGGAGTGGAATTATAACTTATAATAGATGTATAATCTTAATAGATTCGTAACGGTTAAAGTTGATTTAACCAAAAAGTAACAAAGTTATAAAAACAATCCTCTTCGAAAGAATTGTAACAAACATAACTAGAAGTTAGAATTTTCCAAATTATTTAAGGGTTCTAAAAGTCATAGTTACATTGAATGGTTGTCTAATAAAATATTTTTAAAAATTAAATCAATTAATTATCCTAAAATTACGTAATATTAAAATATATTGTTTTTATAGTGCTATAAGGGATTATCAATTGGGCTTACGAGCGCTTTGAGGGAGGGCCCAATATTAGGGATTTAAGGCCCAAAATGAGAACTTGGGTTATGTGTTGAGGCCCATATTTTGCCTCCAATATCCAACTAGAAGGGCTTGGCTTTGACTAGCAACCCCGCCAGGCCAGAGGATGCGGATTGAAGAGAAATCCGGTAGAATCTCCAAATCCATGAGATTGATGATAATGTGAGTGACCGTTAACAGTTCTTGCTCCGATTTTTTTCAGAGAAAATTGGGAGAAAAACCATGCTCGGAAATCGCAGGCTACCATCTGATTCTCAATAGCTGCAAATTTAAGCTCCTTGTTTCAATTGACAAGGGCATGGCCATGGCGTCTGTTTCGAAGCCACCGCCATTTCCGCCCTTTCACTCCCTAAATCCAAGCTTTCTCAACTCTTCACCAGTGATCTTATGTTTTCCTATGCACCCAATGACGTCGCTTCACCCCTCCATACGTGCCCTAAAGACTGGGCCGGAAGGCAGTAGAATTCGAAGCCACGAAGAATATAGCTCGGATTTGCTGCGGAAGCCGGTTGTTCCACCGGCGAAGGACTTCGCCAGAATATCGGAGGATGACGAGGGCAGCGAGGAGAGTGGTACTGACGGCGAAGAGGAAGAGGATTGGGTTGATTGGGAGGACAAGATTTTGGAGGATACCGTTCCTCTAGTTGGCTTTGTTAGGATGGTTCTTCACTCTGGAAAGTAAGCATTTATTTGTGTTTCGGCTTTGTAAGTGAATTTGAGCGTGTTCCAGGTCAAATTGAACTTATGCGACTTTGTTATCATGTGATTTTTAAGCTTGTTTTAGCTCAAATAGAAATCGTGTTACTCGAACATGAACGCATTTGAGTTCTATGAGATTGAAATGTGGAATTTTAAAGGAACTTTCTTCGATTTCCATGACAACCAAGAACAATAATTAATGGTCTTATCAATTAATCTCTTTATAAGATGTGTAATTTTAGGATAATGAAGAAAGAGTCCTTGATTTGAAAATCAAATCAATTTTTTCTAATTTGACTATAACGTCGATGCAATGGAAGATTTTAAATCTTTAATAATTGAAGGAAAATGGGGTTTTGTTTGCGATATGATCTGAATGAAAGGGGGTTTTGTTTGATGAGTTCCAGTTGTAATCATCTCAGCATATGCCCTTAAAGACAATTTTAAACATGATTTGCGAGGTATTTTGACTGTATGCTTTGATCATGTAAATGTATTACCCAAATGCTCATTGTTTATAATTCATATAATCAAAGACAGTCAGACTTTTATCTTATCAATGAATAAGATTTCAAGTCCAACTATATGGAACACCTATTATCCGAGAGAAGATGTGGTCACTATCTTGAATTTGTTAGCATGATTAGATATAGTTCAATCTCCATGTGCTCATCATCTCTGATCAAACACGTGCAGATATGGAAGTGGAGATAGATTAAGCCTGGAGCACGAGAAAACGATTCTTGACAGGTTGCTTCCATACCATCCTGAATGTGAGAAGAAGATTGGATGTGGAATTGATTATATCACGGTGTTTTTCTCTCCCCATTTGTTTGCACACTACATACCATGTGTTTTTAGCTTATTCGAAGAATTTAAGTTTACATTAAATTCAAGGTTAAATCATGAACTTTTAATTTTGTATTTAGAATTGAAAGTTTAGGAACCAAGCTTGTAATGTAACCTAAATTAAATAAGTATTTAGATACTCTAGCCTCTTTTCTAATTCCTCAGATGAAAAATGATTCTACCTCTCTTATCCTGAGAAATTAAGGGAAAAGAAGACCTGCTTATGGACAGTGTCATTTTCTTTGTTCAACCATTTTCTTTGTAATTATTTTGAGTCATTTGATGCATACCCATCTCTTTGTCAACTGAAATTATCATAACATTTATGCATTGGTGTCATTGTGGTCGGCAGATTGGATATCATCCTGATTTTGAAAGCTCAAGATGTTTATTCATAGTCAGAAAAGATGGAGAGTTAGTCGATTTCTCATATTGGAAGTGCATTAAGGGTCTGATCAGAAAGAACTATCCCCTCCATGCTGAAAGCTTCATTCTTAGGCATTTTCGGCGACGTAGACGCAATTACCGTGGGTAGCACATGCAAGGATTTGTTAATCATACTATGCATCATTCAATTTCCGGAATTCTTTGAATATCGATGCTTGAAATTGACCTACCACCCTTGTGTGGTTTTGTTGTTTAATGATTTGAAATGCGTGAATCAAGATGGATATAGGGGGAATGTAGACTCTTGCTTGAGGAAGGTGCTAGTGAAATTCAATTTTGTAAATCTTATCAGTTACTACTCGTTTTACTTGATCCAATTTCTGCTTAATCTCCAGTGGCTGCAACTGATGATTGATGAACTCTTCACTTCCTAGTAATTCCTGCCCCTAAACTCGCTCTCTTTATAGTATCAGGAGTATAAGCTCTAAATCCTTTAACCCTATAATATTGTGTAGTTTATTTGGTGTTTGGTTTATGGAGTATGCACCAAAATAGTTGCAATTTTTGGGAAATCTTAGAATAACTGAATCTTTTACTGCCTGCAAGATAATGGATTAAACAGGTATCTGCTTGCTCTCCTCGACCACGGCTTACGTGAAATGGTATGCTGCAACCACTTTGCTCGACTTGGAACTTGAGTTCCTTTTACATCCTATGGCGACATTCTGCAGCTTTAGCGTTTGTCTAAACTCTCTGTTTTGATTCTTCTAGTCTTGGCATCTTACTGTTCAGAGCCACTTACGTGTGTGTAATTCATAGCCATTATTATTATTATTATTATTATTATTATTATTATTATTATGGAGCTATTGAATTTTCTTACATCAGTGAACGGTAAGTTAATGCTGATTTAGGAACAATAGTAGGTTTTTTTATTTTGGAACTATTGGATTTTCTCATAGCACAGAGCAGTGAAACTCATTTGTAGTTCTCATTCCCTCTTTGTAATTGTTTCTATTTCTTATTTTTAAGAAACATTTTTAAAATTGTGCGTAAATTTTGAAACAACTCCTTATCAATTCTTTTTCAAAAGATAGATAAAAGCATTATTTTATCATTTTTTATAATATACATGATAAATATTAAAAGTAAATATCATGTAATTTTTAAATATTTAATTTGAAAAATTAATTTTCATATAAAATCGTATTCTTGTTTCTTCGGAGAGTTACTAAATGCAGTTTTATTTTATTTTTTATTGAAAAGAAGAAAGTAAGAAATAGTATATAAAAATATCGCCAATCAAAAGAAAATTTGTTAAACTACGTTAGATAATTTGAAAGAAATGATAGAATTAGTGTTTTGAAAAAAGAGTTTTTAGGTATGATTAATTTTTCAAATTCAACATCCAAAGAAATGATAGAATTAGTGTTTTGAAAAAAGAGTTTTTAGGTATGATTAATTTTTCAAATTCAACATCCAAAATGAATTTAAAGTGATTTTAAAATTTTCTAAAATCAATTTTTTTTGTCAAACATGATAAATATTCAATGAAAGGAGAATTATTTTAACAATAACAAAAGCAATTTTGGACATATCAAAATTACTCCCAATCACAGCTTTAATACTAAACCGTTGTCCATTTTACATCGGATAAAACTCGAAATAAAGAAAAAACAGAACCTGGAAGTATTCTGAACAATAGTTTTGTTTGAAGTGCACAATAACCTTTACTTTTACAAATAATCTAGGTACTGTATTCCAAAATATACGCAAAAAATTATTAAATAAGGGTACATGATATGAAATTTTCCTCAATACTAGGAACTCTCTCGTTTAAAATTTAGCGTGTTGATCAGCTGCAGGGACTCAGATTCAGAACAAATTTTAATTTCCTTCATACCCACTTGAAAGCTTCACACCACTTCTGAAAATTCTGTATAACATTATCCAGAGCTGCAATTAAAATGCCAGGGAATTGTATGCCTGTTACAACATTTCCGAAGAGTCTATTTTACAGGCGATCCTCAATGGACATACAGAAACAAATGCACTAGAAGAAAGTGAAACAGTTTAGCAGAACATTCAAACTTGTATTAAATCAAGCAGGTGGGGTATCTTGGAGACGAGCGACGACAATCCTGAAGAATTGGGTATCTTGCTACCCATGGCCATGACATCAAATCAATATTTCAATACTGGAGAAACTGGCAAGAGAAGAAATCATCTCATCACATTTGTGTTCCCCAGCAGCAGGCACTGCAATAATAATTTTAATTTTAAGATCCTGAAAATTCTTAGCAAGGATAGCCGGGAGTGCATTCAATGTCTTTCCAGGATATCATCTTCCTACGATCCCTTCCTCTAAATGACCTGGAACGTAGGCTACCGCTGACAGGTTTGCATAATCCAACATCAATGACAGAACTACTCTTTCTCCTTTCAGAGAACAGGGGTGCCTCACCGATGCAATAGTTAAATAACATTGCAAGACAACATATTTGATGAGACAATATATAGTTTTCTTCGTCCACGGGCAGCATCTTAAGTATATGAAGATTCACCTAAAGAACAAAAAACAAGATCCACTAAGTGAAAAATTACCAGGTTAAAATACTCAAGCTCTGAAGAGGTCTAATTCAAAGTGCATATGACATTCCGTACACCCACGAGTACGAAAAAAGTACTGGTTAAATATGTGCCTTCAAGAAAAACTGATAAATCCACAGCATAATGAGCTTTTTCCATCATAGACTTTTCGATAATGTTTGTGAATACGAGAACTGTAACAACAATCAGGTGTTTGTGGAGATTTTTTTTTTGAAAAGAAACAGAACATCAGTTCATTAACGTAATAATTTTACAAAAGGCTATTTGGAATTGAAGTTAGAAAATCCTTTCCAGCACAAATATCTCTAAGAGAGTAATTACAGTAACTTTTATCTAACTTGCACCAAGTGGCTGCTGTGAACAAAATAAGGTCAAATGTGTAGTGTGTGTGGAGATATTAAAACGAACTCTGCTGCTTACCTCAGCTTCCATGGCCCGAAGTTCATTATACCAATCAGAGTCACCACTCTGATCACGGTTTTCTTCAGAATTTATCGTGTAAAGATTCAAAGTGAAGAGAGGAGGCCTAAGAGGGTACTCCATGCTTATTTTAATCTGCCATAGTGTTACTTGATCTCAAGATTCAGAAAATCAATCAAGAAATAGTTTTTATCAGTAAATTAAAAAGAAAATGTTACCTTAGCCTGCAATTTAAGATTTTTTGCGGGGGAACCAGCATTCCTGGTCATAACAAGGCAATATTCCTTGGACCCATAATCGATCCATGTATTTTTTGTCATGTTGGAAGGAATAGAAGCTACATCATCTGCGGCAGGCTCGGGCTGCACGGGCTCATCCTGATCATAATCAACATCTAGCATCAACTCATACTCTTCATCATGTTTATTGAAACTTTGCATCCTAGAGTAATTGGTTTGAGGTGTAATGCTTTTGGAAATTAGAGTCAACTGTTTGGAATGCTCAAGATTGGATGTTTTTAAGGGAGTAAGTTGAGGCTTATTTAAGATAGATGTAGCTGAAACTAGAGCGGGAAGTTCCCCATCTTCCCTAGCACCATCGATCTCTTCTCTTGAAATGCCAGATTTTCCAAGCATATCAACATCTACAGTATCCTGAACTTTCTCTTTCTCCATTGTAGTCAAAGATGATGTCTGGCTTGTACGGTGACCCATGAGCGACCAACCTTGCAAACAGCATGAAGGTTTATGTGAAACCCATGGGACGTCAGCACATGTCAGAACTGGCCATTTGAGTTTTTCAAGTGAATCGAGCTGTTCCCTGTCAGTCAATAGAAAAGTTCCAATTTCTCAACAGAAACCACAAACCATAGTTAGCTGAAATAGTGATCCCTCCACCAAAGGAAAAAGATTCAGTTATACAAAATGCTGTAGGAGTAAAAGTAAACATGGCATATATGGTTTTCTTGACAAAACACAATGTTAATCACACAATCATAGTGCATGAAATTGCAAGTGAACAGCACAACAACAAATGACTGATTTGATCACTAAGATACAAATCCATCTCTTATTATTTCTTCAAAGTCATTGGTAATCTAAAACTTTGCATACAAATCAATGACTCACACAAGAGCCAGCTGAGCCTTTTTCCGAGAGCGTAATCTTTGCACAACTGTCTTTATGCGGTTTTGCTGACGATACATTGAGAGGCCTGATATAATATCACTTTTAACAGTTTCACCACTGGCAGCTTCTTGGCCACTCACCAATGGTGGCAACTCTGGCAAAAAATCAATTCCAGCCAAATGTTGGGCCCACTTATACGGTCGAGAGGTCCTCTTATCACTAAATGACGCAAGAGTTTCACCAACAACAAGCTTGGCTGACTGCATCAATTAAAAGGAATGCACCATCATTGGATTTCCCACCCTTTTGGTTGAAGAGGTGAGTTGGGGGTGGGGTAGCAGAACAATAAAAATATAAAGGGCAAATAATAAATTCACACCTGGTGGGGCAGCTCAAGGCCAGTGTCATCAGGGAACAGGTTGCATAAGATGTTATTCTCAGGTCCTTCATGAGATCCTTCGATCCCAACACAAATAATATTCAACTTTAACAAGCATTCAAACTTCAGAGAAAGCAATTTCATTGACTTGGGTTCACAAGTTTCATCATCATATATGTGAAGGATGATCTTTAGCGGATGAACTTGATATATCCCTGCATGCTCAATGCTCACCTTTCCTGGAATCTTCTTTGGCCGTTTTCTCCTCCTTTGGCCATCATCATCTTCATCGGGAGCATCATCCTCCAACTTGGAGTTCTCGGCATTGGTTGATGTACCTGAAATATTTGCAATGATAATCCTTATTTAAAAAAAAGAATGAGTAAAGAATTATAGGAGGATGGTGTGCTTAATATAGACTATACAGTCCAAAGAAAGTGGTATCCAGTTATCTCAAATTTCCTTTCGTAGGAAAATAAATATGATCTGGGACTGGGATTTAGTTTCATTTGATGAAATCAATTAATAATCAACTCAATTCATTCGAATAGGCTATATAGTACGTAACAATGAAAAAATAATTAAAAGAGAAGAAAGTTTATCAATAGCATATGCATCCCATTGAACTCTCGGACATTAAAATAATTTTTTTACAGTGCATACATAATCATATATGAGATATAATTATTCAACTAATGGTTGTAGAACAAATAAACACCTACGAACCAGTTTCCTTATTTGCTTGATGGCGTGCAAAAGTTTGGGCATCTTTGACACTTCCTACTATCTCCAAATCAATATGTTCACCAAAAGCTTCCTTTTGTGCCAAGAATTGCGAGTAGATCACATAAAGAGGAGGTGGAAGTAGCTCTGCTAGTTGGTGTTGCTTTAATTTCTTTGTTTGCAATATTCCCAACTGATTCTGTACAGGCAAGGATGCCTTTTTCAAGGACTTGAGGTGTGAGGGAAGACTTGACAAGAATTTCTTTCTATTGGCAATGACTTCTGAAAGGCTTTTCTTATGTTGTTCCAGTTCCTCTCGACGTTTGCAAAGTTCTTTGCGCTGATAAGATGATGGATATTAATACACTAAATAGCAACAGTGGAAAAACAAACATTTTCACTAGGAAAAAAAAATCAACTATGTATATGCACGAGGCTGAGGATGGAGAATTGGAACTTCCAAACATAAACCAAAAACATACATAGCTGATGGAATACCATCATTCATTCATCCATCATCTAAATGGGGAGTAGTAAGCTCCTGTATGAGATAACTTTGAAGTCATAATGTTAAGGAACTTTCCATTGTAAAATGTTGTAGGATGTCTTTTAGTGTTAGTCAAATGACACACGAGCTAGCCTGATCACCCACAATTATTGAAAATAATAATCAAGCCGATGGAGCGGTCTACAATTCTTTTAGAACCACATAAGCGATCGAAAGGAAGGCAATTCCTCCTCAAAGTTCTGAAAATAATATGGAGCTATTGCTTACACGCTTCCTGGCTGAGTTATCGGTATCTCTAATTACCATATGCAGTCTGCATTCTTGCTAATTAACTCAATGAGACAATTAAAAACAAGAAATCGAGGCCACCTGGTAAAGCTCATAGTCAAGCCTCTGCAACATCAGATTGTGCGCGCTGTCTTTTGACCTAATGGAGTTCTTGATGTCTTCTGGCGCATCCCGGAAAAACTCATCCTCAGACACGAGTTCAATATCAGGATACTTCGATTTGAAGTCTTTGCAGGCCTTTATAGCTTTGACATAGTGACTTTTTTCGTACATCAAGTTGTTGAGTTGCAGAGTGGTGAAGTCAACAGGAGCTTTTGCACGCTCTGTTTCAGCTTTCACTCGGTCCTCTTCCAGCAAAATAGAGCGGTTCGCCTGTGAGCGAACATTATGCCACAACAGTTATTACAGCGGCTGCAATTTGAAAACGCAAACGAAAGAGAAACACAAGAAAAACTACCATCCCGAATCAACGATTCTTGGAAATAGTCTAAAACCCTAGAAGAGAGAGCAAATGGAGATAAGAACCTGGCGAAGGGTTACGAAGTGAAGGAACATCTGGGTAACAAGTTCCCTGAGCTGAGTTTTGGACTCGCCATGCTTCTTGATGGAGAGCATCTTGGTCACAATCTCCTCCACGGAACTTTTACTCTCTCGCAGCGTTTCGTAAGGAGAAATTTTCCCGGTATTGCTCTCCGACGGCGGGGGCTCGGTTTCGTCTTCTATAAGCATTCCCTCCTCTATCTCCTCGTCCATCACTGGAAGTTGTTCCCCGCCTGATTCAATCACCCGCTAGGCGCTGGTCTGAGCTTTGCTATGCTAAAGCCGAATTGTAGCAGCACAGTCATAAAACGGCGTGTTTATCGACCTAGCATCGACGGGACGATCGGCTGCCGGTCGGGGCGGATTACTATGATTGGGTAAAAAAATGAAACAACCTTCAAAAATAAAAATAACAGTAATAAAATTACAACAAATACCCGAACTTCGCTCTTTGTTTCATAAACAAAAAATACCTTGCGTTCGTTGTTCACTTTTCAAAAACGTTTTAAAAATTAAAATACTCTCGAACACACATTTGAATAAAAAAGTTGATCAGGCATAATCCATAAATAATATATAAATTTATCTGAAATGATTATTGCAACAAATTTGATATTTAATCACGATAAAAGAATCAATTGATTGAAATGGTGAGGAATCGTACAAAGTTAAATTTTAAATTTATTGTTGTACCAATTAGTTGTTTAAAACAAGTTAATTGTCTCGATAATTTTCATTCAAAATATTGATAGATATGTCCTCAAATGATAGCTTTTAAACATTTATGAATCATCGAGAGTAATGTTGAAAATTTATAAATGATATGTGTGTTATCGAGAAAATCAACCTAATTAAATATCATGACAATTACACAACCTACAGTGGTTTAATGAATCAAGCATAATTTTCCAAATAAACAGTTTAGTTTTAATTATAATAAGTATATTCGATTAACATTATTATTTTAATATTAACACTTAGTGATAATTGACATATACTTCGGCCTAATAAAATTAGGAGACACAGAGAAAGAACTAAAATTTAAAAGTTTTTCTTTTAATTTATGTTTTTTAAGAAATATAATTTAACAACTTTTATAATTTTAGGAAGGATAAGTTATTTATCAAAAAGAAAAAGAAAGGATGTGTCATTTGTCCAAAAGAAAAAAAAGAAAGGATGTGTTATTTTCCAAAATACAAATCATTCGCAACGCCAAATCTGTCGCTTAAAAAATGGCGCATAGTTAATGGCGGTAGAGAGAGTGCTGCCGTAGAGCTGATCGTAGTTCTTGTTTGGAGTCCCGATTTTCTCCGAAACAATGGGATTTGACAACGGAGAATCGGAAGACGAAGTCGGAGCCCCTGCTATTAGGGCTCTCGGGCCTCTCTTCAAGTTGACCGAAGTATTTCTATGGTGACCTTTCTTACCTCAGTGCCTACAGTTACCGGAAGATTAGGGGAATTTAAATTACAAGAAAACAACTCATTATACTTTCACCGTTCCACTTTTCTTCTTCTTCTTCACTTAGTTTATCTTGTATTAATGAAAAAAATCAATGGCTGCGTTTCAGGGATGACGAAACAGAAGCAGCCAGACGAGCGGAGCGCAGTGTGAGTATTTAATTCACTGTTTCGAATTACGGCATTGAGTTAATTAGTTGAGTTCTCTCTGCTCCCTGCTTACTCTGCAGTCTACTAATTTCTTCGTTTATTATAATAAGTTAGCTCCTGATGCCGATGATACCCATAACGAAGATTTAGGTGAAAAAGTTTGTTCTACAATCAGTGGTAAGTGCTGTCAAGCTCTCTGTTTCCTCAGTTTTGTTGTTATTTTAAGTTATGAGGTATATGTTGCAAACTTGATGCTCTCCCACTATTTCTGTGGCATAATCATGCATGTTAATTGGTGCTAAAATGTCACTGGCCAGGTATTAGCTTATTACCGGAGGATACAGAACTTACTCAACAGATGAATGCTTTGGGGCTTCCTCTTTCGTTCCACACCAACAAAGAGGTACTTCGATATACTATTTATGTGTAGTTCTTAGGTTAAATTACAACTTCGGTCTTCTAATTTCATGTTGACACTCCTATATTCCATAAGTTTATATTTTAATTAATTAGTTTCAACGGTCTCTATCTAGTATCTTTACTGAATGTTAAGAAACTGTTAACAAAATCAATGTGTCAGTACACATCAATGTTGCGTCATTATATTTAAGTATCACATTAGGTTCTCATTATATTTATCATGACTCATATAATGAATTGAATTATATGGACAAAAATGAGATCTTGAAAAGTCTAAGAACGAAATTGACTAGCACAAAGATTGGAGGGATAATTCAATCCATTACGCAAATAGCTATTCCACATAAATTTTTTTTTTGCTGTTTTTTTGGCCATATCCTTTCAGTGGCTATTAGAAATTATCTTACAATAACTATTGTAGCTCTACCATATATTTTGTTTAATTTCTTATAGAACAATCACAAGTATTGAGATAAATGCTGCATATCTATTGTATTGCCCGTATTAGGCATTTTTTTTTTCACTCGTCATAGCTGCTAGCAGATTGACTTGCAAATGATATGGAAATATGATTTTTCTGGGAGAAGGATGACCAAATGGATTGCTATGTTTTCTTGCATTACTATAACCTTCCGTGGAAAATAATTTTCTCTGCTTTTATCGATAGTTCTGAAGCTGCAATGTTTTGCCATGTTGCAGAAGAGAAATGGAATCACCACTGGTAAAAGAAGAGCTACCATCAAACATTCTAGGATCCAACAAGGACTTTTAGACAAAGAAATGGAGTTTCCCAGAGTGAGCAGCGGAGAGGAGATTGTAGCTAACCTTAATTTCAACGATGATGCAATAGGTTCTCTATGTTGCGCATCTATGGTGGACCAAAGTGAAGCGTCTGATTGTCATGTCTTCCTTGATGGAGATATTTTACCTAATTCAACTGGACTTATCAGTAGTACCGTTGAAGAACAATCTCACAATCTTATGATTGATAGTTTGTTGAATAATGGGGAAGACCATGAATCAAGTCCAGGCAATGCTGTGTTGGGGAATCATTCAATAGTTACATCGAGTTCAATAAGTTTAGATAAAGTTCATTCTCCAAAAAGGTATATGATAGGTATTGATGTCAGCCATAGCGAGGCGCTTGAACCACCTATGGAGTTAGAAGGTTCTTCCATGACTCTACAAGATACTGAAGTGCAGAAGATCAACATTGATAGTGGCATTGGACTGCCATTAGTAGCCGAATCATCTCTCCTTCATATGGAAGCAGGCTATGATGAAAATGACCATGTTGTTGGATGTATTCATGAATTTGGAGAATGGATGGTGTATTGGGATTCTTTTTATATGAGAAATTACTTCTATAATATAAAGTCACATGAATCAACTTGGAACCCTCCTGCAGGGTTGGAACATTTTGCACTTTCTGATGCCGATTGCACAGCAAATGAGTCAATTGCTGAAGTTGCTGAAATGGATGTAGTGGAAGATGTAAAATCACAAGATATTTGTAGTGTGCTTGGTGAGACACTTTCGGAGGGCTCTAGTATTTTAATTGAGAGCCCCGAAACTAGTGGATTCATCAATACTTCAACCAACAGTCACAAGCATTCTGATGATCCTCATGATTGCCAGACCAGTTGCAGAAATACCAGGAAAGATATTGGATGCAGGTTCTTGTCTATTATTTCTATTTCCCATATTCTGTTACCTATATGAATACTCTTTTTGGAGGGGAATATTGATTACTTATCGTGGTTTCAGTTGTGAAGGTCATGTCAAGCAACTATGTCGTGAGCACTGCAGCAATGATTTCCAGCTCACTTTTGCAAATGGAGCTCTTGAACAAAAAACCTTCAGCCTTGGCAAACCTAGTAACATCGACTCACCAGAGATAGATATTGTTACTAGAGATGATTACGATGATGATGAAGGCACAATGAGTATATATACTAGCAGGTAGCATTTAGAATCTGAATTGTGATTGGTGTCTATTAGTCTCTTGATCTCACCACGAATAACTCTTATGTTTGGGCTCCCTTGCTATGTTTTCAGTGTTTCTCATATGATTCAGCAGGCAGATCAAAGGGACAGTGGCATGGATTTTGGAAATGGACGTACCATATGTACACTGGGCGCTGAGAAAAATCTTGCTGGAATAAGTAGGAAAAAGAAAATGAAAAGGATACGCAGGCGTAGGCAATTATCCGAGAGAAATGAAGGTTCTTTTCTTCTGCCTCCACTATGTCTGCAAAATACTTAGTTTTATCATCAATAGAAATTTTATTTACGTTCCATTCCATAAAGTTTAATCAATTAGATATTTTTCTTTTTCTCTTGATAACTGGGGGTCGGAGCTTTGCTCCCTAGGGGCACCCGCACCCGTCTCAAAGTCGAGACATCAACGGTTTTTGGTATTAAGCTCATGTGAAGGTTCGAACTTGAGACCTCTAAGCAAGATGACCAGATTCCAGAAGACCCCAAACTCTTGTCAATTGGACTGTCTCTTGGGGCTTGGAGGCATTAATTAGATCTTTTTGCCAGCCCAAGGGGGAATATAGAAAGATTTTGGCAGAAGTAAATGGACAGATCAATTTGTTGGGTCGCTTAATGATTAGAATATGATATGTTCCCCTTTGTTTCCACTTGTATTTCAAAATAGTTTTGATCTGATTTTTGTTGTCCGATATATTGGTTTTGACTCACAAATTGATTTCATCATCCTGAAGATTATAAGAGCTTGACATCCCAGTTAAAAGTTCAGACTATCTCTTAATGTATGGGACCTTGGTTACTGTGCCATATCTAGTCACTTTCAGTTCTATGATATGCAGATAGGAAGAGGAGATTAGAGTTCGGGCTAACCATAAACATCAAGAATTTGAACTAGAAGTATGAATTTTTGTCTAAGTAACTTGATGTTGATCAATTTGAAAGGAAGTGAATAAATTCATGGGTAAATGCTGTGTTTTTCCCTCCTCTTTGGACAAGTCTTCTTTAGACGTAGTACTTCTGCAATAACATTCTTTTCTCCCTAAAGACTAATTTTCTTCTGCAGAATTTCAATCTCTAGCAATTACTGAAGAGTATCCCACAAGTATTGCTAAATATTGGTGTCAGAGGTATCAACTATTCTCCAGATTTGATGATGGTGTAAAAATGGACGAAGAAGGATGGTTTTCTGTAACTCCAGAGCCTATTGCTCAGCATCATGCATTACGTTGTGGTTGCAATCTGATAGTTGATTCTTTCACTGGGGTTGGTGGAAATGCCATCCAGTTTTCCCAGAGGTGATGTTCGGTTAATTTCTTCTTTCATTTTTTTAAGTTTATGGGGATAGTTGACACTTGCATGTATGTCATACGCTCGGATAATTGTTTAGGATTTTGAATAGTTTATTTGTCCATGTGTACCAGTGGTTGATAAACAAGTAGATCTGATCAGATTTATGTGCTATTCTTTTTTACAACTTTTAGAAGATATTTAATTGAATATTCCTGACTCAACATCTATGTTTAATTAACCTGTTGATGATATTACAGGGCCAAACATGTTATCGCAATTGATATTGATCCAAGAAAGATTAGATATGCACATCACAATGCTTCCATCTATGGTGTTGAAGATCAAATAGATTTCATAAAGGGGGACTTCTTCCGTTTAGCCCCAAGTCTCAAGGTATTGAGTTTTTCCATCTTTCTTTCTTTTTAAATAATTAAAAAAAAATCTACATTTTCTTTTTTTCTTTTTAGAAAAATTTCATAATTATTCTAATACTGAGAAATGAATGTTTGTTTTAGAAAGCCAATTTCTCGAGATGTGTAATGAAAGCTACCAAGTCAATTTTAAAAATCTCTGTTATTTCAAAATTTTAAGTTTTCCCTGTGATAACTAAAAACCTGCATTGTCAATGTTTGTTATTTTAGACAGTGAAAGTATCACCTGCAGGATCACTGTTCAGAGAAGGAATTATCATGAGAATGTTCATTGTGTCTGCGTGAGTGTTTTGAATGTTATCGTAAGAATATCGTTTTTTTTACTAGTAACATAATGGATGCAATGATTTGTTGGCATCGTGTATTCCAATTTTTCTGAACACAATTCCTGTATATTGTTGCAGAGTCTTTTAAACTGCGGCTTTCTTCTTGCCTATTCTAGAAAAAGTTTATTTGATTTTTTGCAGCTTGGTTTTTATTTACCTTTCAATGCTATACTTCCATCTCTCGTTAATTATATTAAAATGTTGATCTCTCCATGCTGCAGGCCGACGTTATATTCTTATCACCTCCTTGGGGAGGTCCTGATTATACCAAAGTAGATACTTATGACCTTAAGACCATGCTTAAACCACATGATGGGTAAGATTTCTGACTTTTATAGCTGAAGTTCAATTCAGCATTGCTCCAATATTGTTTTTATCATCATCTGAGCATTGCTTTTGCCTGTACCTGTGCAGGTATTTTCTCTTCAACATTGCTAAGAAAATTGCTCCCTTTGTTGTCATGTTTCTTCCAAGGAATGTTAACGTTGACCAACTAGCAGAGCTGTCTCTTTCTTCAGATCCTCCATGGTCACTTGAGGTAAGAATACACTTTTTTGTGCTCAACATCTGTTTCTTGTAAACTGGTTGCAGGCTTAAGAATTGACATCAATAGATCGTAGATGTCGAAAAGCTGGTATGGTGCTTTTTATGGAATATCAAGAACAGGAAGGGTAGTAGTATTGGTATACCATAATGAATATCTAGGTTTCTCTTTCCATTGTGCAATATATAATCTGCAGTTAGTGCAGTTCCTACTACAAGTTAAAATTGAGTTTTGCATGGTAAAGGAATGCTCGAGTCTCTAACTCTTCTTTCTCCTATACATGCAAGCATGCAAGCTCCTAATCACTCTTGAATGTGCTCACTCACGTCTGCACTCCTCTCGTAACCTGTAGAAGGTTCACTATTTTTTTTTTCTTGATGTCACTGGTCCTACTTCTGATAAATAATCCATTACACCTTGAATTCATTTTTTAACACAGTCCTACCAAAAAATTATTTCCCGATGTAACATTGTACCATATTCACTTATTTAGATTCTAAAATTATTTTTAATTCTGTTCGCAGGTCGAGAAAAACTTTTTAAATGGCAAGTTGAAGGCAATAACTGCTTACTTTAGCAATGGATCTACGAACGAACCCAATGGCATCTAATAGTACCATATTCTCTTTTTAAGAGATCCTCCAGCAATTGTGGTGGATAGAAGGTACAGCGCGAAGCAGGTTGTTCTAGCTTATAGTTTTACTTCACTGTTACCCTTTATTTTCTCTTGTACGTTCATATAAGGCTACAAGCAACTATTTTAAGTTGTCGTTTTTGCTGACACATGATAGGTTCTTAAATTATCGGCTTGGCAAAACAATTTGGACAACATGGAGAGGAGGAATAGTTCCCTGTACACTAAACTCAGCCCCTTATAATTGGTGAGACCTCTCTTACATGTCAAGAAAATGATCTACAGCTAGATAGGGAAAGCGTTTAACCTTTGTGGATACTATTTACTAAATTACTGGACCCATTAAGGGGGAAAAGAAAAGAAGGAAAAGCACTGGGACTGCTAATTTACTGACAGTATGATGTCACGCATCATTTTGTTGTTTCATCTCTCATCTATAGGACCATTCTTGAAATTGGGTTTTCATGTGAAATATCCTTGGACCATTAATCAAATTGAACTATGAATGAGAGATTTTTCGGACTCAATACTGTATTGGACAGGATTCCTTATTGTTACTGAATTTCAATACTAGATAATTTGCATTCCATTCTGAATCTTTGACTGAGAAGAATCAAAATTAGATTATCGTTGAAGTTGAAAAAGTTGAAAAAGTTGAAAATTTCAGTCTCAAGAAGTTTGGTCTAATATAGATGTAATTTTAAATACATTCGAGTCAATACAAAACTTCTTTGTTCCATAATTTTCTCTCTTCAATCATTGGGTTGCAAAGTGCTTACAAATATACTACTACAGTTCAATATTTACTGTTCTTTTCTTTTTCCCTCTTGTGATACTAATTTGGACGTACAGAAGGGGGCACTCCCTCATGGGTCAACTTTTCAATTGGCCCATTGTACGAAGATGGAATCATTATAAGCTACAGTTAGGTAGGGACTGTTGCTACAAAGTTGTTTCCAGTGAAATTGAAAGATATATGATTATGGCTCACATGCAACCGACCATCGGATTAGAACTTGGAAGACGAAGAAGAAATGGTATTCCTGTTTACAGAATGTATACTCAAATGGAGCGTATTCCTATTAATGTATATGCAGACGAAGCGACTGCACAATCAGTTGTTATTTTAACTTGACAAGAGGTTGTTATTTTAACTTGACAAGAGGCTAGAGGTTCAAACTTCTGACTTTTAGGAAAGTAAGTTATGCATCGACTTTTGTTTCAAGTAACAATCATTTGTGTCCATTAGTCTTACTCTTATTAGTCTTTACATGTAATATGAATTAATATTTCTGAAATAGATGTATAAAAAGTTGATGTTATTCTTTCAAAATGTCATAGAAACATCGGGAAGCATTGGATGTGCAAATAAACGTTTGAATATTAAGGAAAAATAGACTTTGGCCGTAGGTTGCGTGCTTAGACGTGTAATTTGTTACAACGTTTGATTTCTCATGCATATAATTTTTCCAACGCTCTTTGTTGTATAAATCAAATTTGGTTTTATTCATATTTTTCTCACTCTACCTCCCGCTACATTTATTTTCTTTCCATGAAACCTCTCTAATTTGTCATTTTACAGTGATACCTTCGTACATGCATGAATACTTGAAATAATTTCTTTAACTTTAGTAATTTTCAAGCTTCTTCTGGATCATTTACTTTCTGTAAATTCAAGATTTTATTGATATTTGGATTAAATAGAATAGACTATAGAGGAGGGGCATGATTTAACATGTTAACTGGGCAGGGCCAGAGCTGGGTTCAAGCCAGATTTGTTTGCATCGGGAAGACGTGACTGATAGTAAGAGACAAACTCGGCCTATTGAGTGTTAGTATGTGGGCCTATCGTTGGTGCAAAGTAAATATCACTTACCCGAGACAAACTCGAAAAATCATAAATAATATTTAAGTGTTTAATGAGTAGAGTATCTTCTAATAACTTAATAAACTTGAAAAATTATGAATAAATCATAAATAATATTTAAGTGTTTAAAAAGTAGAGTATCTCTTAATATGAATAATATTTAGGTACTGGTCGATTGGTAGATATCTCTTGCTATCTACTATTAAAAAAAAGATAAGATAGTTAAAAGAGATTAGTGCATAAAGAAATGAAAAAATATTTTTTTAATAAAATAAATAGCTGTCAGTTTTTCAACAGTAAAGACATCTACCAAACGAACATAGTTCAACGATAATTTTAATATATATTAAATAGAAAAAAATCTACATCCTACTCCGTTAAACGAAGGAGAGAGAATCGAACTTATATCGAACGGTTCGAGGAACTCCACCTTCACGGCACGCAATTTGGCGCGTCCTGGCTACGCCTTCTTGATTTCTTTGTTGGCTCTTGTATTGCATTGCAGGGAAATAATAGCAAAGGCAGCAGAAAAATTTAAAATTGGCAGACTGTTGTTTCCTCTAGCATCTGATCCAATGGGACCCTACTACACCACTGTTCCAGTCAAATTTCTTTTACGGATTTTTGTCAACAACTAGGGCTATCAATGGTGGAATCTCAAAAGAAGCGAACACATGAAATTATGGTTTTTACCTGCCTTTGATTTGTAATGGCGCTTCATAATTAAGCATGCTTGACCTTGAGATAATCACGCCTCTGCATGCTGTGTTATTTTCCTTAATGTCCGCCATTTCTTGCGCTTTCTTAAACCTCTTTCTTCCAGAGAAAGGAATACGCAATCTGAAGGTAATTCGCGTTTTGTTTTGTCTTTAAGTTACTGTGTCGATTGAGGAAGCCGATTGAGAGCGATGGCGGAGGCTGCATTGTCCGTAGGATCGCGCTTCAGAACTCGGGATTCTAGTCCTGAGTCCGTCGTTTTCACTCTTGAGTCGAATCACAGCGTTTTCTCGTCTACTTCTGCCAGTGTCGAACGCTGCTCCTTCACATCCGACGCTCACGACTATGACTGTCGAACCTCTGATATCTCCCTGTCCCTGGTAATGTCGTCACTTCTCTCATAAGTAACTTGCTTAATTAATTCGCTTGCCTTCTTCTTTCGCGTTTCTGGAACGAGTAGGTTTTTGTAGCTTGCATGCTTGTGAACGACATCCAATTCTTTCGATTCTTTAAGCGGATACTCTTTTGTTTTTGACAAGCGGGAAAGCTTGAATAACTAGTTTGTACCTATAATGTGATGGAATATTTCGAGTTATTGAATTGAGTGAATATGGCGGTGAAGATTCTGTTTGAATTGTGAGATTTTGCATAAATAGTCGCAGCCGGAGTACTTTCGAGTATGCTATTTTGGAATACACAAGTAATAGGCATACTCGAGCTCGTTGTCGAATTCGTAGTTTTCGAAATCTGTATTTGATTGCAGCATCTGGAAGGGAACAATGAGGAATGCAAAGAAGAAACCAGTAGTCCAGATTCGGATCCAAATGCAATCAATTCCAATTTGGGTATGGAGCACAGTCGTCAACCTGGAAAAAGAGAGAGAGTTAAAGGTACAGAGTTGGTTTTCAGGCTTTAAGATTAAAGAGAAAAGAAAAGGATAAAAGAAAAGAAAATGTTAGGAGTTTCACAGAAACGACCAAGTTCATTAGAGTTTTCACATTGTGGTCACCCGTCTTCGTCTCACGTTCGATATCTTCAAATCTTGGGCAGTTGAAAGGGAAAACAGCTATACTGATGGGATGGATGGACATCAAGCGTTGGATATGGCTAGAAGCTCTTTTTCTCTGGCTCTCAAAGGTAATTTGTTACCTCACCTAATTGATAAATGCTCAGTCTTCAACATTTTGTGAAAGATACTAGCCCGGCTGTTTTTACAGAATGTCGGGATCGAAGAACTAGATCTGAAGCTTTAATGAATAAGGTAGACAGGCAAAGACCCGCTTCATTGGACCTGAATAATGTCACTGTCTCATCACCTCGTCTGGCAATCGTGCGAAAGAGCTCTTTCTCACCTCGAATGTCTGATACTAGTATGTTACAAAGTCCTGCCACGCAGAGCTGTAAGCCTGCCAATGCCGAAATCCAAAAGGGTTGGAGTTCAGAAAGAGTGCCATTACATAAAAATTCTAGCTCGAAGCATATGACTACTGCATTCTTGCCTTTCAACAATGGGAGGACGTTGCCATCAAAGTGGGAAGATGCAGAGCGGTGGATTTTCAGTCCCGTTCCAAAAGATGGCATAGTCAAGCCCGCTGTTCCACCAGCTCAGAGGCGGCCAAAGTCGAAAAGTGGCCCACTTGGATTCCCTGGTATTGCATACAATTCATTGTATTCACCAGGAATGCCAATGCTTGAAGGATCGAAGGAAGCAGATTTCATGTCTCCGCCGTTTTCAGCGGGAATGGTTGCAGCAAATGAGTTGGCAGTTCATACTAGTGGTCATGAAGCAGACAACCCTGTGGAAACTCAGCCTGGCATGGCACGCTCAGTCAGCGTGCATGGCTGCTCCCAAACGACAAGTGAGTTCCTGTTTACCACTTCAGTTGGTACAACTTTAATCTTCTTTGAACAAAATCTCATTATGTCATGATTTATTGAATTAATCATCAATTTGATCGAAATTTGTTTAAATAGTTCGCCTTCTGTCCTAGAGTATGTCAAAAGGGAGTTTGTTCTTGGGTGGTGAAAAAACTTGAATTATATTGATTTCAAGACTTGTTTCTAATCCTCCAAAACCACCGTTTTAATCTGCTAAGTATAAAAATGTAGGTCAAGACTCTAACGGAGTTGACAACTCAGCCACAATTATATCTCGTGATGTTTCAAGAAGGGACATGTCGACCCAAATGAGCCCTGACGATAACTTTAAATCATCTTTGGGGATTAGGCTGCCTATCTCTGTTTCCGCTCCTTCTGCACAGCCCATTTGGGAGCTAAAGAGTATGTCTTGCTTGAAATCAGAAGTCAAGGATGTCGAGGTTGATGGACGAGTTACCTTGACTAGGTGGTCTAAGAAACACAAATCCCGGATTCCATGCAAGGGTCAAGTTCATGATAAAGATGCAGAGCCTGTCATCTGTGCTTGGGATGTGTCCGACACAACAAAGAGCATCTCAAAGTACGTAAATTCTTCTGCACAATCATATTTATATAAGATGGTATAATGCATCTCAACCTCATGAAGAAAAAATAATAAAAATTGATTTTGAAGAGATTTTAATTATTAAAGACAAAAACTATTGAATCGAAGAGAGACAGAGAAAAGATGTGCTTTCTGCACAACATGAAGGTTGGGACTGGAGTGTTGATATTGTTTAGACACTGACATTAGATTATATTGGTAGCCAGAATTCTATGTATTTGTATTAGTAAGTTATCATGCGGAAAATAACATAATAATACTAACTACTTCGTTGCCAATCCCTACTCTTTTGGCAGAGTAATGAGAGAGGAGGCAAAGATCACAGCATGGGAGAATCTTCAGAAGGCAAAAGCTGAGGCAGCTATAAGGAAGTTAGAGGTTTGTCTTCAACTCTACCTATAACATTTATTGTTGACATATATATGCAGATGCACACGTGGCTTGAAATTTTCAGACATGAAATTAGTAAGTTATATACACGAGGATTTGACATGATTTGCTCCCTCTCACGATGCAGTAGAGTATCTTTTACTAAAATCAAATGTTGAAACTTATTTTTCAAAATTTATTGCTCATCTCCTTCAGAAGTCGTTGTCTTTATTACTTGGTTATACCGCAGTGCTAAAGTTTTGAACAATTTGCCATGCTTGATATTTTTGTTTCTCATGGGGAACTATGAACGTGCAATAATCTTAAATTCTCTAAAACTTAAGATACGGGCATAAAAGTATAGTTACTCATTTGGAGGTATATATAATTCAGATGAAGCTGGAGAAGAAGAGATCATCATCCATGGATAAGATTATAAATAAGTTGAAATATTCTCAGAAGAAAGCTCAAGAAATGAGGAACTCCGTGCTAGCTAACCAGATGAGTCAAGTTGAGGGGTCTTCTCGAGGAGTAATATCATCTGGGAGAAGCCCTCAGAGGACTTCATTAAGTGGTTGTTTCACTTGCCACGCCTTTTGAGGCCCGCTCAGGTTCAAGGAAATTGCTCATTCTAGATTCTTATGCTACAAGGAAGTTCTTCATTCATTCTCTCTTCACAAAATCCTCCCCAACCAAACCAAACAGAAACTTTCTCCCAAATTAACAATAGAGATTTTCAGGATTCTCTAGGGGAAAATCCAATGGCCGACCAAGTCAACGGTTTGTTGATTTTTAAAGGGTCGTTCGGATGTAGCATATATTATACATATGGATGTCTCTTGAATATATTATACTTGGTGTCAAATTTTTTTCTTTTACTTTTTCTTCCCAAGCTTACCACGGTTTCAATAATTGTAGGGGTCGTTTTGGAATTTCATTATCTTTCATTTTTGATTCAACAATATGGAGAAGTGAAGATTTGAATCTTCGATCTTTTAGTTGAAGATATGTTTTAATCAGTATATACTCACGTATTCTTATATATATAGGTATATTATCTAGGGAGGGTGGTGTGGAGGCCAAAATCTATGGTTGTTATTTGAGTTTATTTATTTCAAGCTATAGATTTATTTAACCTACGAGCAACATATTTCCGGTCATGTAAGCCAAAATTGTCAAAAACTCAAATTTTTATGTTGCAAACTAACATGGTCACATTTTATGTTGTATTTGATCTAAATTTTCAAATTGAAATTTTTTTAAAAATACGAACAATTTTATTTTAACAAATGGATAACGTGGCTGCCGATGGTGAAGTTACACAGGTCGGCAAAAGATGATTGAAGCGGAAAAGAACGACAAGGATTAGTCTGATCATTTATTCATGTGTTCACATACACACTCTACTTTACTAGCTAACTTATTTCTAACCATCATTTATGGTTGTGTTATTTGCATATATATGTTTTTCATTGCCAATATCTCTTTTAGATATATAAAATTATTTCTTTTATATCTTTCATCTTTATGTGTACATAACCCTTTATCTTTCCATAACACATTATTAAAGCAAGGTCTCTAAAGAAGCTTGTATTAAAACAATACTTCAATTAGATTAAAAAGTAGGAATCTTAAAGCATATTAGAGTGAAACTTTATTATCAATTAAGTAAGTCTTTAAAGCTGGCTCGTAGGTCAGATTTCCGTGACTTCAAGAAACCTATATTATTATATATTTGAGATCTTCATCTTCTCCACATTCAAGTACTGTTGAGCTTCGAGACCGTCTTCAGAAATTAGGGTCTTTTGAATGTCTTTGAGTGGTGGCATTTTTCCTTGACGGGCCAAATAAATATAATTCACACACAAGTGAGCTGATGCTCCTGGAATGAGCAACCCAAAAAACCTTAACAATAAAGTTTTAAAACCCTCGAAGTAATAAAGAGAGAACTTGATGAGTGGCATCATTAAACTTCTTATAAGCTCCCACAAAGCGAACAAGTATTTGGGTATCAGCCATAATGGCGAGAAGTAGTTCTTGTTTGGCTGCACCTCCATAAACTGCACATCAACCCAAAACGTTACTTAGTTCCTGACTCGTAAACACCTATCCATGCCGATTAGCTCTTGACTAGTGAGGACTTATGTTCATCAGTTTAACAGCTAAGAGAGAAATGCAAAAATATAGATTTTTTTTTTAATTTTAAAATAATAAGCTATCATTTTTTCAAATGGTGGTCATCATAAAGATAGGTCTTCGCTAGTTAGAACCGAAATATTTTTCTTGGTAGTATTTGTACTCTTTGAATTACCTGCCCACTGTAGCAGCAGTTGAAGTAAACGCATCCGCCAAAGTGTTTGTACCATTCATCAAAGATATCGAAAGGAATTCTGGGCACCAAGTCCATAGAATAAACATATCGATAATATTTGAAGGCATATTGTTTTGAAGTGCTTTCCATGAACTTAACAAACTGGCTGTTGCCAACTCTGGGCTGGCCGAAGGTGTAAACAGCCTGCAGCTTGTTCAGCACATCGGACTCGTTGTGGTATGAGAGGATGGTGACAAACAGGATTGCGAGGGCTCCGCCCAAGCTGTGGCCAGTGAAGATGAACTTTGCCTTGTCGTTGGATTTGGCAATGTCTCTAAGTTGTTGGCGAAGGTAATAATATGCAAATTGGTGGTCAGATTTTGGGAGTTCCTTAGGCCAACCAATGGTGCCCTTTTGGAGGCCGAGAGCTTCCATGAAGCCGCTGTGGATGTTGCCAATGCGTTGATCAACATTGTACCACGAGAAGTTCAAATCTAATATGGCATCATATATGGTATTTGTTCCTTTAAATGCCACCACTGTAACATTTGGGTCTGTGGCGGTATTCTGAAACATAGTCGCTTGAGTTCTAGCCTTGCTCTCAAACACTGAACATCATGTTCAAATTTGGTCAGTTTTGCAAATATAAGAATTGAGTTTTTGACTTTTGTAGAAATTCAAACAAATGAGTTTTTATTTTTGAAGTATAGTTGTTGTTAATCACCCCCTCAACCTAAAAGGATAAGTTTTTGGGTTCGACAATACACAACTATTTTTCTTTTCATATTTTGCAAGAGTCCAAGTCATGTCCCTTAATTAGTCGAATGAGCCTATCCCTCTGGCCTATCATTGTTGGGTCGATCCGGCTGGCGGCTCCTGCATCTCCTGCGTCTCCATGGGGGCC